TTTTGGGGGGGGGGTCAAAGTTGTGGGGTGGGGGAAGAATCCCAAAATTTTGTGATTGGGGGGAAATTTTGGGGCAATTCCAAGGAAATTCAGCCCTGGATTGGGCTGGGGGTGGGGGGAGCCCAGTCCCAAACTGGGGGCACTGGGAGGGTCCCAGCCCCAAACTGGGGGGACTGGGAGGGTCCCAGCCCAAAACTGGGGGCACTGGGACAGTCCCAGCCCCAAACTGGGAGCACTGGGAGGGTCCCAGCCCCAAATTGGGGGCACTGGGAGGGTCCCAGCCCCAAACTGGGGGGACTGGGGGGGTCCCAGCCCCAAACTGGGGGGACTGGGAGGGTCCCCAGCCCCAAACTGGGGGCACTGGGAGGGTCCCCACCCCAAACTGGGGGGACTGGGAGGGTCCCCACCCCAAACTGGGGGGACTGGGAGGGTCCCCAGCCCAAAACTGGGGGCACTGGGAGGGTCCCAGCCCCAAACTGGGGGCACTGGGAGGGTCCCCAGCCCCAAATTGGGGGCACTGGGAGGGTCCCAGCCCCAAACTGGGGGCACTGGGACAATCCCAGTCCCAAACTGGGGGCACACTGGTGCCACTGGGAGGGTCCCAGCCCCAAACTGGGGGGAGTGGTGTCACACTGGTTCCTACTGGTGTCACTGGTGCCACACTGGTGACCCTGGGACGGTCCCAGTCCAGACTGGTGTGTACTGGTCCATACTGGTGGCACTGGGACAGTCCCAGCCCCAAACTGGGAGCACTGGGACGATCCCAGTCCCGTACTGGTGTCAGTGATGTCACCGGGACAGTCCCAGTCCTGTACTGGTTCATACTGGTTTGTACTGGTGTCACTGGTGTCCCTGGTGTCACTGGTGTCCCTGGTGTCCCTGGTGTCCCTGGTGTCACTGGTGTCCCTGGTGTCCCTGGTGTCACTGGTGTCACTGGGACAGTCCCATTCCATACTGGTTCATACTGGTCCCCCCCCAGGACCCCCAGCCCACCTCGACCACGGAGTTGTTGCTGAGTTTCCATTTGCTGCCCCCCAGCACGGGGCGGCCGTCGATGAAGATCGGCCGCCGGCCCTCGTTGGCGATGAAGAACTCCCCGTTGTTCTTCAGCTTGATCACCCCTGCAAGGGGAAAATTCGGGAATTTCGGGGCATTTCCGGGAATTGCCAAAAATTCCAAAGGGTTCCCAGCCGCCCCTGAGGGTTTTGGGGGGGTTTTGGAGGGGTTAAAAGGGGTGGGGGAGGAGGATTTGAGAGAAATGCTTCAAAAATCGCTCAGGGATCCCCAAAATATCCCCAAATGAATGTGGGATCTCAAAAGCCACCCAAAAAAAATTCCAAAATCCTGAATCTCCCCCAAAAAAAATCCCAAATCACCCCTCAAATCATCCTGGGATCCTTTAAAAAAACTCAAAAACTTCCTCAGAAACCCCAAAAAAACACCCAGAAACCCAAAAAAAAAAACCAGAAACACCAAAAAAACCCTCTGGATATTTGCCCCCAAAATATCCCCAAATGCATGGGGGATCTCAAAACCCCAAAATCCCAAATTCCTCCAAAAAAAAAACCCCAAATCCCTCACAGATTATCCTGGGATCCCTTCAAAAACCCCACAAAAATGCCCCCAAAAATCCCAAAACCTCGAATCCTCCCCCAAAAAAACCCCAAATCCCCCCAGATCATCCTGGGATCCCTTCAAAAACCTCAGCAACTCGCCCCAAATCCCCCCCAAAAAAACCCAAAAACCCCAAATCCCCCCAAAAAAACCCCAAAAACACCAAATCCCCCCCCAGATCACTCCGAGATTCCTCCAAAATCCTCAGCATCTCCCCCAAAAAACCCCAGAAAAAAAACATCAAAA